TTTGGAAGCACTTCAAAACGATCTCCAAACAATCGACCAGAAGGAAGCACTCGAAAATAAATATACTTCGAAGCAAAAACTCGCTCAAATGCAACTCATACTTCACCTGTGCAGCAATTCGACACTCCACAACACGTTCGTTGAATTGTGACGTTGCAGCTTTATTCAGTGTAGCACCACAGTGCACTACGGCAAATAACGCACTTTTCGGTAATTCAACAGCTGTCCACTTGAGTGGATTAAACTCAATGAACATCGCATTTCCCTTAACAGCCAATATCTCAATCGCTTGATCCATACCACCGCCTTCTGTTCCTATCAGATGTTCGGCACGAGCACATAATTCAGCTAATTCGGCCTTGAAACCATACTTCATCATTGCATATAATGACAGTTGAACTGCTCAAACTGCTATTAAACTGAAGCAATAATATCGTTTTTCATTTAAGATCACTGAAGAATTGATTCTATTTCTTCAGATAGTTACTTTACTCAGTTCATGGAGAACTGTTCCGCTTTTCAACCAGGTAAAGGCAAATGAGTAAATTTATCAGACCAAATGAGAGCATCATAGAATATTTTATTATTAAAGAATGAGTACTCGCTCTGATAAACGTTCCCCTATTATCGATGAGTGAACCACAATAAATGGTTTCTGTTCAAAAACTTCGAAAATTTTCGATGGAATTCGCGATGCCCACACCGGAATTATGATTATGGATTTGATATTTTGTCGTTGTCACACTTAAGAGATCAGTTGCTCGCTCACCTTATTAACAACTTCAAATATTCGAGAAGAATGTGTCGCTAATGTGGCAAGCGCAGATGCGCATACAAGTGAGCTTGAACTCGACAGACCGGCACATGGAGGAATGGAACCTGGATTATAATCAAACATGAAACGATTGAAACAAAATCTAAACGCAACTATTCTCAGCTTCTATGAAATCTAATTGTTATCAACTTTTACTTAAATGATTGTCAACGCTATAACAAAATAAATAAACACATTCGGCACTCGAGAGGACATTTCAATTGCTCGATAAAATTGCTTGAAATGTATTTGATGAAAA